TTCAGGGCGGGGTCATTTTCAGGACTTTCGTCCCGGATTCAGGTTTTCGCACATATGCCATGTTGACCGCCATGGTCATTTTACCCTAAAACAGTTGAGATTACCTGTCCTAAATGAATCGCATACAAACTCATATACAGGTCCTAGACTACCGTGTGTGTTCAGTTAATCGAACTACGAATCGAATTCTATAATCGCTGACTTTTTAACAGCTAACACCACCAAAAAATTCTCACTTTGGTTGAATTAAGGTCGGAAAAAATTTGCCGACCTTGGAATGCCGACCTCGTTTTCGAGGACTGATTTTGCCACATCTTGCTGACGTAATAAGTGATATACCGACAAAGGAAAAGGACGCTTCGCGCGAAATATTTCGCTAGCGGAAAACCGCCGCTTTATTGCCTCTTTTATAGAACAGTATAATAAGCAACAACAACTGAACAACCAAACAAATTTAATTAGAAAGAATTTGCATTGCTGCATGTGTGGTTTCCTTTGATGCATGCCAGTCGTGATATTCGGTTTGAATTCAATTATATATTCAGGAAGTCAATTTTGGTTTCTTCAGTGGTTATCTTTAGCCAATCCAGTTTTGCCGACTGAGATAATAATTTGCCAATTTGCTGTCGAGTGTGGGGGGGGGGGTGCCCCCCACACACACACCCTTGTAGCGCCGCCCCTGGTTTTTCTCTGGATCCTTGCCAGTCAATTGATCATGCCTTTCTTGTAGTAGTGTACCATGATAACCGTCGTATCCACATTATGTACTTGTACCGTTTTAGATACCTACAGTCTGTGTATAGGAAAACTTGTAAATTGAAAATATTTTTTTAAGAAATATCACATATATCCGTAATTGGGCTTTTCACGAGACTTGTTGATGTCACAAATTGTTGGTCGTTATTCGTGTCTAAAATCCGCTGACGCGCGCCATTGCAGGCGCACTAACATCGTAATGAATGATTGGTATGGTAATTAAGTGATTTGTTGTAAACGAGAGGAAAAATTTTAGATGCATGTCTTTGAACAAAGCTTACAAAGCTTTTAATCATAAACAACAAAATTTATTGTAAATTTCTAATGGTTTACAACGGTGAAATATCAGCTGAACAAAAGGCGCTCGCAATCTATTTTAAAGCTGGAATCTGGAACATCATACAGAGAGATAGCGCGAAAATGTTATATTTCAAAATCGGCTGCGGTAGAATATGCAAGTCCGGGTGCAAGTCAAAAGCGAAGTGAAAACCTGCACAGGGTTTGGCGAAAGAGAGGCAAAGGATTGGAAATTGCCAGCAAAGGTTCTAAAGAGCTCCCTGGTCTGCCTCGTACCCAGAATCGATCAAATTAATCCACAAGGCGCACGCAAAGGCCGCGCAAGCTATAGAACAACACATAGTGCCTGGGTTGACGTGAAAGCTTTTAAAGATTTCGAAGCAGAAATGCATGTAATACCTCCACGTTCACCAGATCTAAACCCCATGAATAGAGAATATGTTCCATATTGTGAAGAATGACTTAGAGCGCCAAGCTATTTGCGAGAATATCACGGTGAATCATTGAGCTAATTTGGAAAGAAAAAATTTTAAGCGTTAGATAATACCTCCGTCGACATTATAGATCGCTACTTCCGTCGACGTTGTAGATCGCACAATAAATAGTATGTCTGGGAGCATTCATGCTGTAATTAAATCCAAGGTATTCCGAATAAAATATTGACAGCTTATGCTTAATTTTATTGCTTAATATTACGTAATCTATTAACTCAATTGAGACCGGAAATTCAAAATGAAATGTAAACATGTACAGTTCTCGTCGACAGGAGCAACACTTCTCAGCATCATTTCCAATGATAAATATAGTATTATTCATTTGTCACACCAAATTTCGGTGACATTTCTTTTTGTATACAATTTACTTTCGAAGCTAAGCTGAATATTGTATAATAAAGTGGCTCACTTGCGACTTTCCACAGTTCTCACTTCTTGAGTAAATAAAACTGCAATTTTTTGTATTTTCTTAACTCAGTGATGATGAGAACTGTTGCGAATACGTATACAATGCACTTTCTATACACAAGAAAACATTTTAACGGAAGTGCAGCTATGACTGAAATCAGAGTAGAGGGTTATCCGAAATATATCATAAAAACCGAGTGCGAAATTTCAAATTATATTACTGAGAACTGTGCGTGAGTACTGGCTGTCTCTGCTTAATATGTTGTTTACATGTGTTAACAGAAATGTTATTAAATATTAACTATCATTGTATGTGCGGTATTTGGTCATTCGTTTGTATTGTTTTCGACCATGACATTATCCAAGTGTATCTGCTCTTCACTTCAGTCCGGTTCACTGTTTTCTACATCTTCAAGAGTATTATTAAAAATTATTATTTAAAAATATTTAACAACGGTAGCCCTATCAGTTACCTGTTTTTCAAGGGTATTTTTCCGAGTATATGAATATAATTCGTTAAAAAATCATCTAGTGTAAAAACGGCAAAGATTTTCGTCCACATTTCAGTTTTAGTTTATCATCTAAATTCCGACAATCCTGGCCAAAAGTGCTTGGGACAACCCAAAATTTTCGCATGTTTTTATTGTTCTCTTCAGGGAAAGCAGATTTAACGCAAAATATGCTTTTGAACCGAACCCCCCTTCTCTCCCCCGTTCAATGTTGATTTTGGGGGCATCCTTAACTAAAATTGTAAGAACGTTCAACATTGAATTGGGGTGGGGGAGGGGAGGGGAGGGGACGGGGGCGTTGTCTTTAGAATTCAAGGGTGGAAAAGGTTGAGTGTCCCAACACTTTTGCCCCCCCCCCACACACACACCTGTAGCGCCGCCCCTGGTTTTTCTCTGGATCCTTGCCAGTCAATTGATCATGCCTTTCTTGTAGTAGTGTACCATGATAACCGTCGTATCCACATTATGTACTTGTACCGTTTTAGATACCTAGCTTGCAAAACCATTCCTTTAGCTTTCTATCTTTTTTCAAGGATCGATTTTTCAATGTTATTTCAATACTAACTTCTTTCAGTTGCTTGAAGAAAGCCACTCATAGGTCCTTTGCGAGATTACGACTACGTTCACACTACGAGGGAGAGAAATAATGATGGCACGTTTTACGCGTCTACTCATACTAAACTATGGCTATGAAGCCACGGGTAATAACGGACCAGGTAATAAATATAAAAGAACATTAACTTGCAACAGATATGCTTGATTCAGGGATACACAAATCAACGGCTAATTTTAGAAAGCAAGAAGAAATCATTATCTGATAGAAAGCGTTATCCGACCTTCCACGCTTTCAGCACGTTTTCTCCCAATAGCGCAGGCTCGCATTTTCCAGCGGACGTGCGGTGAAAAATTGAACGTTTTGCATTTTTCACAGATCTTTATATATGTTAACCGTTAACGTTAACAGTCACAATTTGCAACAGCCGATCACATTTATTTATATCTTAGATTTGGTCGTAAAAAGACTGTCATTATTGCTATGATTATTGCGTTCTTTGCATCTGTCATCTCAGTGGCAATTCCGACAAACAAAAGTTCGGGTAAGTTTTTGCAACGGTCGAAACTATATCTATTCTTACGAAAAACTTTCATTTGAGGATATCATTTATGAATTTTTTTTAAACGCACGCATGAAATTAGGTATGCATGAATTGGAATATTCCACACGCGAAAAGACATTTCCTCATGTGAAATCCTATTTTGTAAGGCACAGTTAAACAGGTCAGTCTGTCGGAAAAGGCAATATTAATTTAATTTAACTGAATGCGATTGTTCAGTACGTGTTAAACACAATTATGACGATATTTAGAACAAGCTTCATGCCAAAGTGTCACTTGCGTCATGGAAGCATTGAGGGGGTGAGTGTGAGGTAGTGAATGTGCGCGAGATTCCTGCATGAAACTACGCCGCCACTCGTTCTGTTAATATATCGCCCTTAATATATGTTAATATACAGCTATTTCAATTAAGGTTGTCCCCCGAACAAAGCGTAAAAGTCGAATACGAGCGTGAAAGGCGTGGGTACCTTTTGTCCCACGAACAATTCCCCTATCGGGTGCCTTTTGTCCCAAGAACAATTTCCCTAAGCGACCCAGTATATAATTAATGAGGTGACGCAAGAGGAAGTCAAGCAGATAATCACCTGAATGCCTTTAGGCAAAGCTCCTGGGTCAGACAAAATTCCCTTAAAAGTAATCAAAGACTGTCTCTCAGCAATTTATTTTAACACCCTTAACATCTATTATAAATGCATCTATCACCAGCCAAGTTTATCCAAGCAGGTGGAAAAAGGCTGAGGTTGTACCTATACCTAAAGCTAATGACAGCGATCATCAACAAGCTGAAAATATTCGACCGATATCGTTGCTACCCATTTTATCTAAAGTTTGTGAGAAAGTGATTTTTAATCAGTTTATGTCCTATCTTCTATCACACAATCGACTTACAGCAAATCAAAGTGGAAACAAACAGTTGCATTCGACCGAAACAGCACTACTAAAGACGACCGATGTCATTTTAAAAGCCATGGACAATAGGCAATTAACTGCTGTTGTTCTTCCTGATATGTCAAAAGCATTCGACAGTCTAGACCACGGCATCTTGATCAGTAAACTTGAAGATGTAGGGGCGTCTAGTACTGCATAAAAATGGTTCACGAGTTACTTAACAAACAGGTGCCAAACAGTCCGTATTAACTGTACACTCTCGGATACTCTAGAAGTGATGAATGGGGTACCACAAGGAAGCATACTTGGGTCCTTGTTATTTAGCATTCACGTTAACGACTTCCCATCAGTGCCACAGCAATGCCCAACTGATTGTTACGTTGACGATACAAAATTGGATAATTTATGTGATTTCCTGTTAGAGATTATGATCTAGCCATGGACCTCATTAATGATGATCTTACAAGAATTCGAAATTGGTGTTTCCAGAATTTATTGCTTTCAAATCCTGACAAAACCAACCTCACGGTTTACGGAACCAGACAGTTTATTACAAAACTACCTAGTGATTTTTGTCTTTCACTGTTGGGAAAAGATCTTATCCCTGGAGATGTAACGAAAGACTTGGGAGTAACATTTGATCGTAATCTAAATTTCAACGATCACATTGTGAAAGTGACAGCTTCGTGCATGTCAATTTTAGGACAAATTAACAGAATTAAACATATTTTTAGTAAGGAATTACTTATTATTATTATTAATGCATTAGTGTTTAGCAAGCTTTTTTATTGCTCCTCCGTCTGATCGTCAACCTCTAGGAAAAATATCAGGAAACTTCAATATATCCAGAACTTTGCCGCACGTATCATCAGCGGTCATAGAAAATATGATCACGTGACTCCAATATTAAAAGAGCTTCATTGGATTCCAGTGAAAGAGCATTAATTTTATACTATAGAGACGCAGTATTGGCCTTTAAGTGCATGAATGGAATGGTACCAGAATATTTGAGTTCGCAATTTACTACCAGAAAAGCAGTAAGCGAAAGAATAACCAGGCAATCTGGTCAACTTAACATTCCTCTTTTTACTAGTGCAACAGGACAAAAAACTTTGCAATATCGTATAACTAAACTCTGGGACGAACTGCCATCTAATCTTAAATTAAATAGAACGATTAGTAGTTTTAAAACAGAACTGAAAAAGATTTTACTAAGTGAATTTTTAAATATGTGACAGTCTAGTATTAGTACATAATAATATAATATACTATTTTATATAGGTTTCTGTTTAGGTTATTATCATTGTAATGTATAACTAAATTTGTATTTATATAATTGATTCTGAAAAGCCCCCTGTTTGGGGATGATCAATAAATCTCATCTCGTCTCATCTAATCTCATCTTAAAGGCTGCTGGGATTCGCTAATAAATGAATGAATTTATTAGCGATTCCCAGCAGCCTTTCGCGCTCGTATTCGACTTTTCCGCTTTGCTCGGGGGACAACCTTAATTGAAATAGCTGTATACCCCTAAATACAACGCACTTTTTATCACCCATACTTGAAAAAATTGGCCGGTGAAATGCTTTTCTGTCGCTAAATTTCACCGCTGGGGAATACAATGTTGTCGTGCCTAAACAGAACGCGGGAGCAAGCATGTGGTGGATCTAGTCTCCACACAACTAAAAATAAACCGGACCGGATTACTTAGTTAGGATTTCTTTTTCAGCTAGTGTTGGTGGACAGGTTACAGCAGCTATCATTGCAAAATGTTTCATTACTATCGCCTTCTCTATTGTCTATGTGTGGTGCATTGAGATGTTTCCAACTGCAATAAGGTAAATAGTTATGGATCTAAATGATGTTCTATACTGCCCGAGCTAAGGTTATGAATGAGTGAGAGTATCTAGCCTGCGTCACTGGAGACACGTCTGAGTGCAAAAGTCGCCCATTTGCCACAGACTATGTCGTAGTGTCGGTTCTCTTGCTACATCATCGGCAATGGCACGAATTGGATCCTTTTCTGCTAGTTATATCATTTGGCTTGTAAGTTCAAAATTTTAAAATTGAACTAATCGTGCAATAATAATGATACCAGAGATAAGTGCCAAAGTCACCTAACGATCGCTTGCATGCAGGGGCGTAAATGTGGGGGTGGGTGGGTGGGGGTGGTTCACCCCCCCCAGAGAAATGATCCAGGCGGTCTCAATCTAAGTGCAGTCGCGGTCTCAAAATTATGCGTTTGTTTACATGCGGTGTTTTGCGAAGCAAACTAAGTACTTTAGAAACTCGGAGATGTATCAGACTCAAACTATTGAGTTGAAAATTTGCTCAAAAGGAATCAAGCAGCTCAGAAAGAAGTATTACGTACTTATTTGGTGAGTTTATGAACGAAATATCAGTCAAAACACGCGCCAAGGGACGAAGTTTCCATTTACTTTCCAAACATGGAGATATCTATATGTCACGATTACGTGTTTGCACTTTTATTTGGAACTTAGGTTCTGCAAAGTCATCAAGGATCATATTCTATATTAGCGAAAATTTCAAACTCCCCAAATCAGGCTCCGAAATGCGATGAATCTCGATCAATATAGCTTTACATTAGTTACAATATTTCTCCGGTCCCTAAACTATATTTTTAACATGCAAAGTGCAAAAACGAATTTTTAACCGAGTTATATTAGGAAGTATATGTTCACATGTAACACGACATGCATATGCCCTTTGTTACCAAAATATTTTATGTGCCTATACTGCAATCAAGAAATTCGATCAGTGAACGACGCCCTGGTTTATCTGAAACCCCGGAACGAAAAATTGTTTCCACCGACTAGGCGATGTTTCCAATTGTTGCTTACGGTCAGGTCCGTAACTAGGTATGAGTCAATCGAGTTCAAGTTCAATGATAGACTGTAGATCTCTCCATGTAAAGAAGCATTCTTCTTGCCCTACAGTGACGTAGGAGTGGGAGGCTGTGTGGGTGCACAAGTACCCCAATAACAAAAGTGCGGGCCTGCGCCCCAAATATTACCACAATTGGGCACAAACACGTTTTTATTATGCTAGGGCTAGTATTTCAAAGGTCGTAGGTTCGATTCCCACCGTGGCCAGGAATATTTTTATAGGCTTGCCCGATGTGGATATACACTCACAAACATCAAATTTATATAAATTTGGAATTAAATTATTTTTATTTGTTCTGTGGATATATTCTTTGAGTTGGAAACTCGTCGTTTGACACATTTATCGTGATTCGTGGATTGTTTTATAGTGCTCGTCTGAGTCATATAAGATTACAGACAGCGTTAACTCTTGATTAGTTTGATTTTACGTTTGATATCACTGCTGAATTGATCATGCAAACATAAAGAAAACTTTTATTTTATTGGTGCAACGCTCATTTCAAGTTCAACCGGCGTATTCGGGTTGTAATCCTGAATTATTAATCGTTCTACATATTTTAACGGTTGGCTTTCACAGTTTTTGTTATTGGTCGCTTAGTAACAGTAGTTTTAAATTGTGATTGGTTGATCATGAACTCTTAAAGCAACTTTAAAATATCTTTCCAGATTCGCATTCATGCAGCATTGCCATACAGCATAATGGGAGCAATATGTCTTCAAGCAGCTGTACTTGGATTATTCTTACCAGAGACTAAGGGTACACCAACCTTGGAGACTATGGATGACATGAAAAAAAATCAAAGAGTCGCTCTACTTGATGTGAATAGTAACGATAAAGTTGAAGCGAATAACAATGACACTGAACTCTAGCTGATAAGATGGTTGGAAAAAACTTAGCCTAAAGAATAAAATTTAGTATATTGTATCTAAAGATGACACGAGGTAATTTGTATTGTATCATTAGAAAAAACTGTCAAGCTGACAGATCACTCATATCATATTTTTTTATATATACCAGCTGACTGTGCTGACAAATTTAAGTCACACATTGCATAACGTCGCGGATAGTTATTTAATGTGTTTCCACGATAAGACAAACCGTTCTACTTTCACATTCATGGCTCTACTTTCACATTCGAATGTAGAACCAGGCGGATGACTTTCATAAAAAACCCGCAATAACTTCGAAATGGTTAAAACAATCAGCCAGAGTACTAAAATGTGCTGCCCCAGAAATAAAACATTCTGTGTAATAAAGTGATATATTTAATAGGCTACAATCCTCCAACTACATTTAATAAGCATTCGCTCTAAAACCTTCAAAATAAAATCTCAAAATGGGTCGAATCCATTGGTATATATGGTCGAAAAAGAGGAAACCAACTACATGAAATACTGAATTTTTAATTAGTTTAATTAATAATTTTTAGCGATTTGTCAGCAATACAATTTCGTTTGTTTTTTAAATGCTATAAATCGCTATAATACTGCTGTTTAGAAATTAATTTGGCATCCAATTTTTGTGAGCAGCAGCAAAAAGTCGGTTGTGAAAGTGCGAGATTAGTTGGACTAAGGAAATTGTCGCGGAAAAAAATAAAATTCAGAGAACGTGAAAGGAATTCTTACTATAGGTGGTATGGTCAATCGGGCCTTGGCAAAAGGCATTGCACTGTCCAGTTAACTATCTTCGGCGACGGTATTCCATGAGTAAGACCGACAGTGACTTTCCATGTAGGTAAAGGAAAACGAATCAGACCCGATGAAAAGAAAAGCTGCATGGGACAAAAGAGCCAAGGTTTATTTCCAGCCGAATTAAGCGTGGTGTGACGAATCGACTTTGAAGCAATGGGTGTGCGATGAATGGGGCAACATATTTATCATTTATAGACCTGGAGTGAGGGGGATTCGGTGAAATATTACCGGAAGTGATGATATTTCACGAGGAGGTTTGCCTCGTGGGAAATACCATCTGCACTGGTGGTAATAGGTCGCTGATTCCCACGAGCGGAGGGTCTATAAATTATATATTGTACTAGAAATTAAAAGCGTTCGAGTTGATAATGTAAAACGTCCCACATACCTTCGTCAATACAATGTTTTATTTTTGGATTAACGCAAGTATATCGTCGCTTTTCTTTCGAATCACATATAGTTTGGAATATTGATGAAAACATTTTTCTAAATTTGCTTCAACATTTTGAAATTAACCAAAAAAACTCCTTAGTATATTTTGTCGGCTATCTTGTTTGCGCGATCGCCGCGCGTGGTTTACGCGAATCATGTTACTTTTTTATTATTTATTTGTGTATTTTATTTAGCTTCGCCAATTATACACAATCAAACAACACGTGCACACAACCATTTCTGTCCAACCCCAACTAACGCGCAAACTTCAACGCAATATATATGATTGTAAAATTAAACCTAGGACTGTTTAATTTTACAATCGTACACATTCGTTTTAAATAGCTTGAATTGTATGAGCCCAACATTGGAAAATACGGATAATTGCTTAAAAACTTGTCATGGACCTAGACAAAACTTTTCGAAACGCAGCAAATACGCCGAGCCTCCCACGTTTCAAGGTTGGACAAAAAGGTGACAACAACAAAGAGGCGGGGACACCACAACAGCTTAAAACCAATAACTGTGGGCCCTTGGATACAGAAAACACATAACTAATAAATAAATTGAAACTGATAATTGAT